TTCAACACCTACACTTTGTGGCGGACACATTCAAACCATAGCCCTTTCACTGCAGTTCCTCCTGCAAAGGCCTCCCAACTGGTCTCACTTCTGGTTTTTTCTCCTTTCCGTACCCACTCCAGTCCATTTTCTTTTTTTTTTTTTTTTCTCTTCTTTAAAAAAGATGACCAGTAAGGGGAATCTTAACCCTTGGCTTGGTGTTGTCAGCACACCACGCTCAGCCAGTGAGCCAACCAGCCATCCCTATATAGGATCCGAACCTGTGGCCTTGGTGTTATCAGCACCGCACTCCCCCGAGTGAGCCACGGGCCGGCCCTTCCAATCCATTTTCTATATGACTACCAGAATAATCTATGTTGCAAATCCGATCATGTTATTCACTGCTTTAAATCCTTCATTGATTCCCCTCTGTCTCTTGAATAAACGTCCAAAATTCTTAGCAAGATACACAAGACCCTTAGTGATCTGTTCCTGGCGCAAGCCTCCATGAATTCTTTTACTTTTCTCCCTTCAAATCTCACGTCCTGTTTTAGTCCTTTCGTGCTGCTGTAACAAAATACCTGAGCCTGTGTAATTTATAAACAGCATAAATTTATTGCTTATAGTTATAGAGGCTGGGAAGTCCAAGGTCAAGGTGCCGTAAGTTTCAGTGTCTGGTGAGGGCCAGTCTCTTCTCTGCTTTCTCTAGAGGGGATGAACACTGTCCTCACATAGAGGAAGGGACAGATCCTTCCAGCCCTTTTATAAGGGCACTAATGCATTCATGTGGGCAAAGCCCCTGTGACTTAATCACTTCCCAAAGACTCCCACCTCTTAATATCATCACACTGAGTCATAAGTTCCAACATATGAATTTTGGAAGGACACATACATTCAACCCATAGCAATCCTAATACTGAATTGCGGTTCCCAGAATATGCAACCCTGCCTTCCTGCTTGTCGTCTTTCTCTTATCTGCTGTCTTATCCTTCAAAACTCAGTTCAGATGTTACCTCTTCCAGCACGCTATTCCTCACTATTCTCTCTCCCCATTGGGTTGGGTGTTTACCGCATCTGTTCTGACAGTTCACCTCTGCTCTCAGTTAACCCTTACCATATCATATTCAGATTGTTTTCCTGTATCACTTTGAGGACAGTGACATGATATTTTCTCTCTAGCTTCAGCTCTTATCACAGTGCCTTATGCTTGGTGGGTAGGCACTGGACAGATGTCTGTTAAATGAAAAAAAAATGTTGCCAGCTGCCAAATAGCTTGGACCATATTCAAGGACCATTTTCAGTCAGTGTCTGAGAACATGCACAATTTGATGGGATCCCATCAAGTTTCTTGAAACCAGGAATGGAAGAGCAAATGAAGCACTTTAGGAAAAGCTACAATCTGACTCAATTATGGATTAGAAAAAACTCAAGTTTACAATCAATAGTTTAAAATTACCAAATGCCGTAAGGGTAGGAGGAAAACTAAATTATCCTGATAACAGGCTCCTCAGTTTTCAAAAGGACACTGTTGTTCCTTGATCTGGCCTCCTTTTACAGCACTGACTTTGGGTCTCTGTGCTCACTTTCCTTAGACCACTCCAGCTGTCCCTGGGTCTCACCATCTGAAGTTCAACTTAAAATCTATCAATTCCCTAGCCCCTTTGCAAGGTGTGAAGGATTAAACACAATCAGGCATCAATATTTATTAACACAAGACAAAGGAAACACATTCAATGAGTTAATAGAACACTGTCCAGCCAGATGTTAAATTTAAAAATGTATATCTAGTCTAATTTCAAATAAATAAAAAAAACTTTATACATAATTACACAGTACTATAGTTTGAATTTGACACAGAGAAATATCTTGACAGAAAGTAAACAAAAAAGCATTTAGGACTAAAAAATTATTGTTATATCTTTACAATCTCTTCCTCTGGACAAATAACATGGCCCATCTACATATACCTAAACCAGAAATGTATGAATGATAAAGAAATGGCCTATTGTGTATTTGGAGTACTGCAACTTCTTAGTCCAAATACTCTGGCTTTTACATCAAAGCAGACAACAAAAACAACACTAAGGCATAGATCATGTTGGAGTTTGAGGGTGAGGTGACAACTCCTCATTGCTTTAGTCTAAAAGATTCCTGGATATTCAACGAAAGTAATTTGGCCAAGATATTGAGCACCATGCCTGGGGCAGAGACCTTAACAAAAAATCTAAGGCCTCAGGCCCTTTGTTGATTCAACAAAAGCATTAAGCAAGCATTGCCCAGAGACTAAAGTAAGGAGACACACATATGACCAAGATAGGCAATGGTCCCTAAACAGCCTGAGGCAACACAACTTCTTAGGTAAAGGCCTTGGTACTGGGGAGAACCTGGTCCTTTGTGGGGCAGGAATTAAAGACTGTGTGGACTCAATGATGCCAGTTAGCATGCTAGCCATTACCAGGGTCTCAATTGATGCATAAGATGGCATCTGTGCAGCTCTAGGAATCCCTAGGGCCTAAGAATATTCCTGAGGCAGCTCCTTCCTGATATGCCTCAGTTACTTCTGCTGAGAACCAGAAAGAGGTTCAGAAACTTCCAGAGCAATAGATTTCTCTTAACTGACATGAGGGCTTGCTATTTAGTTTTTTTTTTTTTTTTCCACAGGCATAAAAACCCAGACAGAATGTATCCCAGATGACTGGAAAGGCTGTATTTTTATCAATAATGGCCTTTCAGGCCTGCCTTAAAAGTCAGTTCTACCACAAAAGTTCCACTTAATGTGGAAAGAGCAAGAGCATTGTGTCATCAAGAGAACATTTTCTTACTCAAGTCTGCAACAGACTAGGCCTTGAATCTGCAGATGACCCCATAAACACCATCTAAGCTAATGACTGGACTCTCCTCTCCCTCCAGAGGATACTTTACCAGAGTTATTGATGAAGTTCCCTGAGGACAGTTCTCAGCTTTCTTTCCTCCACTAGCATACTCCAGCTTTGGGGATATGCAAAAGATCAATAAAGCAGCCACATGGCAGAAAGCAAAAAATAAAGGTAAATCAGAGGCCTGAGGCACAACAAAACTAGATAATCAGCCCTTAAGTAACTGGGAGTTGGCTATACTCTGAGATTAACGGAGTATTTTGTTTGAAGGAATGAGTATCGATCTGCACTGTCCAGTGTGGTAGCCACTAGCCACATTTGGCTACTGGAGACTTGAAATATGGCTAGTTCATATTGAGATGTGTTTAACACACACTGGATTTCAAAGACTTAATATGGAAAAAAAAAAGAATGTAAAAACTTTCATTAATAATCTTTTATACTGGTTCCATGTTGAAATAATAGCTTTTTTTTTTTTTTGACTGGTAAGGGGATCGCAACCCTCGGCACAGTGTGGTCTGCACCACGCTCAGCCAGTGAGCACAGCAGCCATCCCTATATAGGATCTGAACCTGCGGCCTCGGCGCTACCAGTGCCACACTCTCCCGAGTGAGCCACGGGGCCGGCCCAAATGATAGCATTTTTGATATATTGGGTTCAATAAAATATATTGAAATCAATATCACCTGCTTTTTCTCTTTTTTCCTGATGACATATACCAGGTAAATCACCTGTTCATTTTTTTTAAATGTGGTTACTAGAAAATTTTAAATTACAGATGTGGCTCACATATTTATAGTGAACAATGTGTCTCCCCATGCTTAAACCCTAACTTGTGCTAGTAAGGATTATCAGAGCAACCCATAGGATAGAATCTGCCTGTAATTTTTTCTTAGAACTTGGGGATTATGGAGATAGAATTATTTAATCCTCAGGACCCCTGCTTTGTTTAGTGAGTCATTAAAAATTATTTTAATAAAATTACTTTTCAAATAAGCAGGATGTTTTCTCTGCAAACCAAATCACTGCTAGACACTGAGATTTCTTGTTTGCACCAATGTAAGTGCTTTTTTATGTACATCCTAGAACCTCCCCCATTATGTGTAAATTAATTCCATCCAAAATGTTGAAAAGAAATCTGGAACTGGAAAATGTCTTGAGGTGTGCCCTCTGTGGAGAATGAGTTGGGAGGAAAAGGGGATTATGTAAAAGGGAGTCATAAGGTGGCTTTGAGTCACAAGGCTGTGTAACGGCAGCCCCAGGGTGCTGCCACAGAGAACGGTCCAGTCCTTTGCATTATAAACCTTATTTTCAGGGTAATTACAAGTCTTAGAAATTGTTTAAAAACATATTTAGTTTACATGATGTTACAGTGGGGTAAATAATATGTATTATTAAAATAGTCTAAGTAAATATTTACACAATAGTCCAGAGTGGGTCAAAGAGAACCATTCTGATTTAACAAGTTAACTCTTTTCAATTTCGAGGTTGTTTTTTTTTTAATTCTTAAAAATATTTCTGTAAGAAAAAAATAATAAAATTCAACTATATTCAAATACATGAAGTTTCAGACCAAAGAAGGGAAACCAAGCCAGAGACCAAACTCAGTCCCATACTCAGTCTGCTTGGCCGGGGCACCACAGTTATTTCAAAAGAGTTCCTTGCATATGTCAGACTTCCTATTTCAGCATAAGCCTGGCTATTTTGGCAACCAAAGTTGGTCAGTTTTGAGATGTGTAGTTATGTGGCCTTACAATTTCATGTGACTGTTGATCCCACTGCCTTCCCAGCCTGTCATTCTTGTTTTTAAACTCCCTGCCCTCACAAACTGGAAGAACAGAGGACATTCTTCAGCTTTCAGAAAAGAGAAGCTATATGTATAAACTGTAGACACAGTCTACGATGGGCCTGGAAAAAAGAGGAAATTCTGAATTCTTATGTAGTCACTTTACTCTTGAGAGAGAGTTTCAACACTGGGGCCAGAGTGAGTTATTGTGGTTTCTAAGCATAGGGTGGGATCTGATGAATTTTAGCTTCATCTTAACATTTTGATTTTTAAACTGAGATTTTTCAGTTTAAAGAAATAGGATGAATTCTTGGAAGCTTAAGCTGATTCTGGGAATGCAGGCTTTAAAAACAAACATAGGCAGCTTTAAGTTTATAGAATACACCAGCCAACAAAGACATAGAACAATGTGCAGTGAAACCTGCAAACAATTTGTACATTTTAGTTACCTAATCAATTACACTACATCAAGAGAATACTGAAATTCTCTCAAAGTAGAAATGTTTCTACTTTGGTTGTTATACAAGCCAATTCTTAAATTCTTTAGTTGAATTATGTGTATTCTTATTTACATGTTTAAAACACTGGTCAAAATGTTTTACAGTCAAGAATTATATATATAAAGTAATTCTCATATTCAGTGGGTTATCTGATTTGCTTATGGGTTGACAAAGTAAGCTGAGTAGTTCCATGTTAATAAAACCCGCAGAACATCCAGCTATGGTAAAATGGCAAATACAGTACAGAGCGGGGAACTGTGTAACTCAGACTACCCCCTTCATGTGAATTCATTAATTCCCTTACAAAATTCTAAAACAGCATTAGATAAAAATACAAGTATGTACAACAGATGAAAAAAATGCAACATGCATGTAATTGCTTCAGTAACGTGCTACTCACGCTATGTCAAAGCTCATGTCTAATAAGACTGTTAACATTTTTTTCATTTGCCACTACAGAATTCCCCTTTCCTGTGTGCTATGATTGCAGAACCCCACAAGATGAGATGAAAGAAAGATGTAGCCATCTCAGCTTATTTCACATCATTTGAAAGCCTGCTCCTAGCTACAGGTCTTCAGTCTTTGTGATTCTTCAGGAAGGCCCCCTGCAGTCCCCACAAGGATGGTTACATGTTATAAGCCACATAAATGGGGTCTAACTGGTCAGCTAGGAAGCTGTCACGGAGGTGCATCCTCTGCTTCTCTCCTCTGGAGTTGATTGGGATGACACCTGGGTCCACCACAACCACAACGCCAACGATGAGGTAATGCTCTTCCAGGACTACATTGGTCACTAAAGGAACCAGATCTAGGGCTTCCTGTTCAGAGCCGCACAGTTCCACAACCACCACAAGCAAGTTGGTCCACGTGAACACGGCACTGAAATTTCAATGATATGCAGTTAACATGTTGTTACATTTACCAGTCATCTCTTACAGTATCTGCCTATTTCCCTGAGTATTGCCTTCTCTCCTGGATCCTAGCCAGAAGGTCAGCAGTCACATCTATAACATATGACCTTGCCCCTGTGATCACAGCTGATTAGCTGAGCCATCCACAATCTCCTGGGAGTTTGAAAGTGGGATTCAAAACTGTTAGCTGATCAACTGAACTAAGGACACGTGGATTTGAAAATTCTGGGGTAGCCATGGTGCAAAGAAGCACAGAAAATGGCTCTTCAAGGAGGAGAGAGGCCCTGGACCAGCCAGCTGCCAAACAATAGGAGTGAAGAATGAAGTGGATGCCCCTATGACTCTAGAAAGTAAGAGAGGAGAGTGGTTCCTGATGGCCTCTTGTCCCTTGTTCCTACCTTTCCTGAGACCCAGAGTCAGTCTTTTTGGAAGCTCTGAGAGAGCCAGGTGTTCTTTCCATTGATTCTCTCTTTTCACTTGAGGTTTTTGAAGACAGTTCATTATTTGCAACATAAGAGCTTTGACTAAGACAATATTCTTAAACCCTATAGGAAGAAAGTCTGTCTGACCTCGTATGAGCTATTTAGTGCCCCACGAAAGTTATCTCCAATAGTGTAAAGGTACCATAACTATGGTAGAAAGTCATCTTCCATTGAAGGGGATGGTTACTGGGTTAGAAGGTCTGACTGGACTTGTGATATACAGTACTAAACTTTTTAAAAACAGATTTCAGTTATTAAATAAAAATGTACAGAATATCTGTTTCCAGGGTGGCCCGGTGGTGCACTGGATAGTGCGCCGCTTGGGAAGCGCGGCGGCGCTCCCGCCCGAGGGTTCGGATCCCACGTACAGACCGGCTCCCGCTCACTGGCTGAGCGAGGCGCGGGAGCAACGCCGAGGGTTGCGATCCCGTTGCCGGTCCCCGGTCCGGTACGGGGGCAACACTGAGGGTTGCGATCCGTTGCCGGACACGGAAAAAGACAAAAAGACAAAAAAAAAAAAAAGAATATCTGTTTCCGGGGTGGCCCGGTGGTGCACGGGATAGTGCGCCGCTTGGGAAGCGCGGCGGCGCTCCCGTCCGAGGGGTCGGATCCCACGTACAGCCCGGCTCCCGCTCACTGGCTGAGCGAGGCGCGGGAGCAACGCCGAGGGTTGCGATCCCGTTGCCGGTCCCCGGTCCGGTACGGGGGCAACACTGAGGGTTGCGATCCGTTGCCGGACACGGAAAAAAGACAAAAAGACAAAAAAAAAAAAAAGAATATCTGTTTCCATTAAAAGTCAAATGTCTTAAATTAGAGGGTAACCATGGCACCCAGCTTCTCTGCATGTTTTCCAGATGCTTCTTTGATAAAATGTTCTTGCCTTGGTCAGAGTCTTTCCACAGGCTTGAACAAGACTTTGACATCTTTACTCAAAGAAGTATATAGAAAGCATGTGTAACCATCAAAAGAACTAGGGCTATTTAGCATGGGGGGAAAAAACTGAAAAAGAACACACTGACACATATGTAGAAAGGAAACTGGATGAATTTTGAATAGTCAAGAACCCAGAATGAAAACATGTAGGTTAAAAACTGTAGAGTTTTAATTTTGAGGAATTTTGAGTCAATATGAGGTTGAAAAATCCTTTATCAGGGAATGTAGAAGGAATTATGCAATGAGAAAGAAACTGGATGAGATGATAATGATCTTTTTCATCTGCTTACTGTTTAACAGTATACAAAGCACATTCTCATCTGATCTTTCCAATCATCAGGAAATAGAGATAGTGTTTTACAATGAGGAAAGCAGTGTAAAAGAACTGAGCCTTTAAGCAGGGTCTTTTGACCTTAAAGTCTTGGTTCTTTCCACCATTCTACACTGACTTCCTAGAGGCAGATGATGTTGGTACCTTCCAATTTTGAGAGTCCATCATTAAAAAAGGACTCAGTTCCACAGTGTTCCACAGAACGAACCATAGTGTTCCATGGTGTCTCTGTGGCCTCATCTGGCTCCTGTGAACAGGACTTGTTGGCCACAGCAGATGGCACACCCAAGACAAGAACCAGTTTACTTGTTTCCTCACTCCTTGTGGAATTCTACTTCTGTGGGTGGGTATTTGGTACAGCTGGCTGACTAATTAGATCAATTTTAATTACTAGTAAAGCTGAGGTGGGAAACAAAGTCTATGCTGGGGAATTTACCATTCAGCAATGCTCCTGTGGATCCGAGATACTGAAGTCTCAATATCGATCGGGTGGTATCGTAATCCTCTCAGCTCTAGTGTTTCATCCAAAGCTCCCACCACATATAATGCATCATGACGCTCTGACAGAAAAAGAGAGAAATATGGCTCAGACACGTTTTTTTTTGTTTTTCCTTTTTGTCTTTTTTCGTGACCGGTAATGGGATCACAACCCTCAGTGTCACGCCCGTACTGCAACTGGCAACGGGATCGCAACCCTCAGTGTCGCGCCCGTACCGCAACCGGCAACAGGATCGCAACCCTCAGTGTCGCGCCCGTACTGCGCTCAACCAGTGAGCGGACCGGTCTCTATATGGGATCCGAACCCTCGGTGGAAGCGCCGCCGCGCTCCCAAGCACCGCACTCTACCAAGTGCGCCACCGGGCTGGCCCCTCAGACACATGTTGAGTGCATTATAATGTGGGACTTAAGAGCACAGCATTCAGACTGCCTGTCACTTGGCCCTACCCATTACCAGCTGTGTAACTGGGCAAATTCCTTAAGGCTCTGAGTTCTCCTACACCTCCATGAGACAGTAATAATAATAAATGGCTGTCATGAGGATTAAATGAGTTAATCCATGCAAGGCAGCTAACATGGCATGTGGTACGTTCTAAGGGCTATAAGAAATTAGCTTATTATATGTCAGGAATTGTGCTGAGTGCTGGGGACACAAAGATAACAAAACATGATTCCTGCTCTGAAGATCCTTACAGTCTCGTGGGGGGAAAAGACAGAAATAGGCATCCCACTGTAATATATAAGCCCTGCGACAGGAGTGTGTGTGCAGTGTGAGGGGAACAGAGGACATCCCCTGAGCCCGGCAAGGTTCAGGAAAGGCTCCTGGACAGGCTGAAGCCAGGGCTAAGCTTTTAAGGATAAATAGGTATTAGCCAAATGTTGGCTGGTGGAGGGGAGGAGGAAGGAGAGAGAGGATTTGAGACAGAGAGGAGATAAACATGTGTCACTGTTTCTGGATATCTTCATGGCACCCAGATATAAGGAACAGGATTATAGAATAAGGAGACTAGTCCTGGATATTAATAGGCTTGTAATCCAGCTAAGACACAGAAGGGAGATGATTTTGTAAGATTTTCTGGAAAAGGTAGATTTCTGAAAAATTTAGTAAAACAAAGTGATAGAAGCTGTCGGAGAGGAGGTCCAGCGGAGGTTCCCTTCACCTGTGAAGAGCTCATAAAGACTGATAGTAACAACAACACAAAGACTGATAGTAACAGGAACAACAGAAACACAGCAGTTAATGGCATATGAGCGCTTTCTATGTGCCAGGTACTGTTTTAGGAATATATCATATTATTTAATCTCACATTATTTCCATGAGGCAGGAGACATAGTCACTCCCATTTTCCAGGTAGGAAACAGAAGTGATTGCTCAAGGTCACACAGCAAATGGCAGAGACGGGCTGCAAACCAGGGCATCTGGCTACGGAGGCTGCCCTCTTCTCCTGTGTTATCCTGCCTCCCCATGACATACGGAAAAGCTATGGATGCTTGTTAGTATGGAACACATGTGAGGAGCTGAGGAGAAATGGCATGGTCCAATTCAGGCCCCTGAAATCCAGCGAGTTACTTGTATCAGTTCTCTGGGTGCACAATACAGTTAGTGTTGGGTATTTTAAGATGGCTATTAATGCCAGTCAGGAAGAAAGGCTGAACAGCAGGGAATCCATGACAATCAGCTGGGAAGGGAGTGACTGGAAGGAATCTGTACAGCAGAGCCCTGCCAACAAGCAGGCTTCTCTCCAGTGTGACACTGAGGGACTAGAGTGCAGCAGCAGGATGGCTCCTCAGACTGACCCCCCGAGGGATGAGAGCTGTTCCTCCTGCTCCCCAAATGGTGAGCAGAGGTAGAAGGGCCAAAAGAGGTGATACCTGTTCAAGGAGCTTGCCTGGGCCTGGAATCAGCCCCAGATGGGCTGAAGGTCTTTGTTCCTCTGGTTACTTCCTTATCATCAGGCATATCACTATGCCCCCCCGCCCCCCGCTGCTTCACATGGATGTAAATTCACTTATGGGGTCAAGAGGCACAGAGGGGAAAATTAAACACACACACTATACAATCCACAGGCAGGGTGAAGGACGCCAGCCAGTGCTACAGAAATGCAAAGCAGGACGAAAGGGGAGGAGCGGGTGTGGACGATACCTCCAGTGGCTGCTGTGAGCTCAGTCCGGCGGACAAAACCAAGGTAGCCTGTCCGAGCCCAGAGTGTCTGCGCAGCATCCCCAAAGCTGAGGCGAGTGTTGAAATGATCAGCCTGAAGAGTCTCACTATCATAGATGGTGTAGTAGCCACTGGCTGTATGGGGACTGTTCACCCAAATCTGTAAGAAAGGGTACTGATCACATTTTACCAGAAACATACAAATGTACCAAGTAAATTCTCTTGGGACACATTATTTTGATTTTTAAATCTCATTTTTATATTAAAGACAACACCACCACTGCAACAATACAGGCAGCTGACATTTTACCAAGTGTTTACTGTGTGCTGAACAGTGAGGTTAAGTACTTTATGTGCCTAACCTCTGACAATCCTGACATAATATGACAGGACAATATAGTTTGCACTAATGTTCTTTCCATTTTACAGATGAAAAGATAAGAAGTTAAGTAATTCACCTAAGATGCAGACACTAGAAGACTCAGACCCAAGCCTGTGTGGTTCCAGAAGCTCTTAAACACTGGGGTGCACTGCCTTCCTGGCTCACTGCTCAGTCTCCTCTGGACTCCCACAAATGTACTGAGGGATCATTTCTTTTTTTTTTTCTTTTTGGTGGCTGACCGGTATGGGGATCCAAACCCTTGACCTTGGAGTTATAACACTGCACTCTAACCAACTGAGCTAATGGGCCAGCCCCACCAAGGGATCATTTCTGTGCTTCTGTATAACTATGGTTTAAAGCCTCAGGGAAACCACAGGGTATTTGAGTTTACAATGTAAACAGACCAGTAGCTAACAATGATAATACTGGCTAGTATTTATTGAGAACTCATTAGACAGACACTGTTCCGTATGCATTACAGATGGGGGTATTAAAGCATTTAATTGCCACAATGATGCTACTTGGTTGGTGAGGTAGGTGCTATTATTATTTATGGATAAGGAAACTGAGGCCCACATAGGCCCAATATTGAGCAGCTGGTAACTGGCAGAGCCAGGTCATCTGGCTCCTGTACTTATAGTACTACTCCCATTAAGCTACAGGAGGAAACATCAATATCCCTCAAAAATCTGAAGGAAGAAAAGTCTTTTAGAATGGTTTTATACTAATACCAAAATGGACACATTTTGGAATATAACATTTGCATTAATTAAAAAATTTTATATATGTGGCTTCTTTCAGTTCCTTAATAGGTGGGAACAGGTAGGACTTAACAAATTCTATTTGTCCACTATTTCTAGTTTGGGTGCCTAAATCTTTTCTTGAACTCAGTCTCAATCCCCCCTTTCTGTCCATTTTGGTCTCATGCCTTACAGAGAAAGATTAACTCTATTCACAATAAGGGAAAAGCTACATCTACAGTTTCTCTGTGAATCCTAGAGTCTTTTAACTGCTGACTTTTCAGAGTAAAAATGAAAATTTTACATACCTCTCCAAGGTGAGAGTCTCCAACAGGTCCTTTGGTTTCAGGATTAACAATAACCACTTTCACTCCGGGTAAAATCTAAAGATTTAAGGGAAAATACAAAGATTGGGTTCAATCAAATCTAACGACTTCTAGGAAATGCAGTTACCTGCTGGGATGTGTGAGTGGCAGGGGTCAAGTGAAATGGTCACCAGAATGGCCACCCTGAGAGGACAACAGCAGACACCTTCTGTTTTGCTTTCACTGAATCTTCCTCAGTTCAGTGGAGACCAGAGGTCTAATAAGACTCATCCTCAAAAATAAAATGGAACCAGTCTACCAGTTCTTCAATGGCATGAGAAACTACAGATCAGGATCAAAGAATCTGTAGAATAACTTAACCATGTAATTTCCCTTTTTCATGGTCTATATCTTGGTCACTGGAATGATAGCAGTAAAACTCCTTAAAACTTCCTTGCCCTTAAAAGGAAAAGGCAGTAGGGTGGGATACCCTGAAGGACTCCAATCCCATTGTCAGCCAGTGCTAGAGTTAGAGGAATTTTAAGAGTGAGAGAGGAAGGTGGCAGCTTTGCAGGAGAATGGAAAGTCATCCATGTCCCCAGGATCATGAAAGATGTCACAGGCCTGGATCTTCAAGAGGGAAAAGGAAGACATGTGCTGGCTGACAGAATGGCTCAGAATGCCCTAGCAAAGAAAGGCCCCTCTCTGCTCATACTCTCTCCCCTGAAGCCTTGCTTTTTTTTTCTTGGATTTCTACAGTAAGAGGTTACTCAAGAAGCCCTACCATAATTATCTATGGTCAAATATCTAAAACCTCAAGGAAGGAAGAGAAGAGACTGTCCTCTCTAGTCTGGGCCAGGTACTTCATGGCTCTGTGATGATGCTCCTAAGATGTGCCTGGTGCTAGTGAGGCAAAACGGAGATTGGACAAGATGATAACAGAATCAACCCAGCCCCACTGCAAAAAGCTCAAATGGTAGAGTGAAACTAGAATAGATCCCTTTTTTTTCCTTCCTAATTTTCTCTCTGTCTTTCAGAATTACTGAAAGGGATTCTAAGGCATCATCACTATCTTGTCGAAGAAATAACCCGTCACCTACTTTGATAGTGCACGTGGGTGTTCTACCATTCTTAGTGAATTGCTTGTAACTCAATCTCTCCTTTGATGTTTTATATATTTTTTCATTTGTTTGTTTTTCTGGCAGCTGGCTGGTACAGGGATCGAACCCTGGACTTTGGTGTTACTAGCACCACACACCAAACAAAATGGTCAGCCCCTCCTTTGACATTTTAAGGCCTCTTTCTAATCTAAAAAAATCTTACTTTTACAGATGTTCATTCTCTCAAATATCTTTTTTTTTTTTTTTTTTAAAGATGACCGGTAAGGGGATCTTAACCCTAGACTTGGTGTTGTCAGCACCACGCTCAGCCAGTGAGCGAACCGGCCATCCCTATATGGGATCCGAACCCGGGGCCTTGGTGTTATCAGCACCGCACTCTCCCGAGTGAGCCACGGGCCGGCCCTCTCAAATATCTTTAACCTCTTCTCCATTTTGACTTCTCTTTCAACTTAATTTTTTTTATGATACATTATTATTACTTTTTATTGGTGTACAAAGCTGATTGTCACCACTCATGCCCAAGATGTGATGGCCAGATCCATACTGGCAGCATGCCCATTACCACAAATTGTGATTATACCCCATGTCCCCCACCCAACTACCCCAACCCCCCTCCCCATTCTCCTTTCCCCCACTCCACTTTGTATCCCTAGGTGTGTTCTCTCCTGCAAATCCAATGCACCACTGTGGTCTTTCCTTCCTTCCTTCTTTCTCTTTTAGCTCCCACTTATGAGTGAGTACATGCTGTATTCATCCCTCTGTGCTTTGCTTGTTTCACTCAACATAAGCTTCTCCAAGCTCATCCATGTTGCTACAAATGGAAGAATTTCATTCTTTTTTATGGCAGAGTAGTATTCCCTGGTGTATATATACCACAGTTTCCTTATCCAACTGTCCATCGATGGACATTTAGGTTGGTTCCATATCTTGACTATTGTGAACAGAGCTGTGATGAACACGGGAGTGCAGGTATCCCTTTGACATGATGATTTCCATTCCTTTGGGTATATATCCAGAAGTGGGATCGCTGGATCACATGGAAGATCTATCTGTAGTTGTTTGAGAAACCTCCATACTGTTTTCTATAGTGGTTGTACTAATTTATAACCCCACAAACAGTGTAGGAGCATTCCCTTCTCTCCTATCCTCTCCAGCATTTGTTATTTTCCATCTTTTTTGATTACAGCCAGTCTAACTGGGGTGAGGTGTTATCTCAATGTGGTTTTAATTTGCTTTTCCCTGATAACTAGTGATGTTGAGCATTTTCTCATGTACCTGTTGGTCATCTGTATGTCTTCCTTTAAAAAATGTCTATTCAGTTCCTTTGCCCATTTTTTTTTCCTTTTTGTCTTTTTTCGTGACCGGCAACGGATCGCAACCCTCAGTGTCGCGCCCGTACCGGACCAGGACCGGCCACGGGATCGCAACCCTCGGTGTTGCTCCCGCCCCTCGCTCAGCCAGTGAGCGGCCAGTCTGTATGTGGGATCCGAACCCTCGGCGGGAGCGCCACCGCACTTCCCAAGCGGCGCACTATAGCAGTGCGCCACCGCCTTTGCCCATTTTTTAATTGCGTTGTTTTTGTATTGTGTAATTGCTTGAGTTCCTTGTATATTACGGGTATTAATCTCTTGTCGGATGCATAGTTAGCAAAAATTTTTTCCCACTCTGTAGGTTGTCTGCTTTTAAACTAAAAGCAGAAGCTTTTTAATTTGATATAGTCCCATTTGTTAATTTTTTCTTTTTTTGCTTGTGCTTTCAGGCTCATGTTCATAAAGTGATTGCACTGAATCTGTAGATCACTTTGGGTAGTATAGACATTTCCACAATGTTAATTCTTCCAATCCAAGAGCGTGGAATGTCTTTCCATTTTTTTGTGCCTTCTTTAATTTCTTTTTGTAGTGGTTTGTAGTTCTTGTTGTAGAAATCTTTGACCTCCTTGGTTAAATTGATACCTAGGTTTTTTGTGTGTGTGTGTGAGACTGTTGTAAATGGGCTTACATTCTTGATTTCTCCTTCTGTTAGCTCAATATTGGAGAACATAAATGCAACTGATTTGGGAGCTTTTATTTTGTACCCTGCAACATTACTGAAATTATTAATCAGCTCTAGGAGTTTTCTGATAGAGTCTTTTTTATATATAGTATATAGGTTTTTCTATATATAGTATCATGTCATCTGCAAATAGTGACAGTTTGACTTCATCTTTTCCAATCTGGATGCCCTTTATTTCTTTCTCTTGCCTGACTGCTCTGGCTAGTACCTCCAGTACTATGTTAAATAGAAATGGTGAGAGTGGGCATCCTTGTCTTGTCCCTCTTCTTAAGGGAAAAGCCTTCAGTTTTTCCCCATTCCGAATGTTACTGGCAGTGGGCTTGTCATAAATGGCTTTTATTGTGTTGAGATACTTTCCTTCTATACCTAATTTGTTGAGAGTCTTTATCACGAAGGGGTGTTGAATTTTATCGAATGCTTTTTCAGCGTCTATTGAGATAATCATATAGTTTTGGTCCTTGATTTTCGCATTTACTGAATGTATTACATTTACTGACTTTTGTATTTTGAACCATCCTTGCATCCCAGTGATGAATCCCACTTGATCATGGTGTTTAATTTTTTTTTGATGTGTCGCTGTATTCTAATTGCTAATATTTTGTTGAGGATTTTTGCATCTATGTTCATCAAGGATATTGGCCTGTAATTTTCTTTTTTGTTGTGTCTTTATCTGGTTTTGGTATCAGTTATGTTGGCCTCATAGAATAAGTTTGGGAGAAACTGTTTCAATCTTTTGGAATAGTTTGAGGAGAACTGGTATTAATGCCTCTCTAAAGGTTTGATAGAATTCAAATGTAAAGCCATCTGGACCTGGGCTTTTCTTAGTTGGAAGATTGCTGATTACCGCTTCAATCTTGTTGCTTGTTATTGGTCTGTTCAGGTTTTCTATCTCTTTTTGGTTCAGTCTGGGTAGTTTGTATGTATCCAGAAACTTATACATATCTTCCATGTTTTCATATTTGTTGTCATACATTTGTTTATAATAGTCTCTAATGATTCTTCATATTTCTGTGGTATCAGTTGTAAAGTCTCCCTTTTCATTTCTGATTTTTGTTCTTTGGCTCTTCTCTCTCTCTCTCTTTTTTTTGTTAACCTAGTTAATGGTTTGTCTATTTTATCTATCTTCTTAAAAGGCCAACTTTTGTTTCATTGATCTTTTCTATCATTTGGGGGTCTCTATTTTCATCTAGTTATGCTCTGATCTTAATTCTTTCCTTCCGTCTACTACCTTTAGGATTGGATTGTTGTTTTTCAAGTTCTTTGAGGAGTAGTGTTAGGTTGTTTATTTGAAGTCTTTCCATTCTTTTGATGTATGTGTTTATTGCAATAAATTTCCCCCCTTAGTACTGCTTTTGCAGTATACCACAGGTTTTGGTATGATATATCTATATTTTCATTAGCTTCAAGAAATTTTTTGATTTCCTGTTTAATTTCTTCTTGGACCCATAGGTCATTCAGGAGCGTAATGTTTAGTTTCCAGGGTTTTGCTTGTTATTAGTTTCCAGTTCTAGCCTATTGTGGTCTGAAAAGAAACTTGGAATGATTTCAATTTTTTTAATATGCTAAGACTAGATTTGTGACCTAATATATGGTCTATCCTGGAGAATGTTCCATGTGCTGAGAAGAAAATATATTTAGTCATTGGGTGAAATGTTCTGTACATATCTGCCATGTCCAGTTGGTCTAAGGTGTAGATTAAGTCCTGTGTCTCTTTGTTGATTTGTTGCCTGGAAGATCTGTCCCATACTGACAGAGGGGTGTTCAGAACACCCACTATTAACATATTACGGCCTATTTCTTTCTTTAGGTCTAAGAGTGTTTGCTTTATATATCTGGGTGCTTCAGTACTGGGTGCATACATATTTATGTTGTTATTCTTCTAAGTGGATCCTTTTATCATTATATAGTGGCCTTCTTTGTCTCTTTTTATGTTTTTTAGTTTAAAGTCTATTTTACCCAATATAAAAATAGATGCTCCTGCTCGTTTTTGGTTTCCATTTGCATGGTATGTCTTTTTCCATCCCTTCACTTTTAGTCCGTGTGTCTCTACAGGTGCAATGGTTCTCTTGAAGATAGCATATACTTGGGTCTAGCTCTTTAATCCAGTCAGTCAGTCTGTGTCTTTTGAATGGGGAGTTTAATCCATCCACATTTAGGGTAGTTATTGACAGGTATTGCTTAATTCCTGTCATTTAATTGCTTTTTGTTTAGATGTTTTAAATATCTTTCTTCTTTTTTTTTTAAAGATGACCGGTAAGGGGATCTTAACCCTTGGCTTGGTGTTGTCAGCACCACGCTCAGCCAGTGAGCTAACCGGCCATCCCTATATAGGATCCGAACCCGTGGCCTTGGTGTTATCAGCACTGCACTCTTCCGAGTGAACCATGGGCTGGTCCTTTAAATATCTTTTGATCATTACTTCCCCTTTTATTTCTCTTCTTCAATGTTAGTTGGAAACTTGAGATGGCATGATTTAGCTTCTTTCTGTCACTGGCATTTTTGTTTTAGTGGTGGGTTTTGCTCTTCCTTGTGTATCCATGATAGTGATCATCATTATTCAGATTCCAGATGAAGGACTCCCTTGAGAATTTCTTGCAGGGCTGGTCCTGCGGTGGTGAACTCCTACAATTTTTGTTTGTCTGGGAAATATGCTATTTCTCCCTCATTTCTGAAGGAGAGCCTTGCTGGGTAAAGAATTCTTGGTTGGCAATTTTTTTCTTTTAGTATTTTGAATATATCATTGCACTTTCTTCTGGCCTGTAGGGTTTCAGTTGAGAAGTCTGCTGTTAGTCTCATGGGGGTTCCCGTATAGGTGACTTGATGCTTTTCTCTGGCTGCTTTCAGAATTCTCTTTTTGTCTTTGAGCTTTGCAAATTTGACTATAATGTGTCTTGGAGAGGATCCTTTTTTTTTTTTCCTTTTTGTCTTTTTTCATGACCGGCAACGGATCGCAACCCTCAGTGTTGCACCCGTACCGGCCCGGGACCGGCAATGGGATCGCAACCCTTGGTGTTGCTCCCTGCACCTCGCTCTGCCAGTGAGCGGGAACTGGTCTGTATGTGGGATCCGAACCCTCGGCGGGAGCGCCGCCACACTTCCCAAGTGGCGCACTGTAGCAGTGAGCCACCGGACCGGCCCAGGAGAGGATCCTTTTGGACTGAATGTGTTTGGGGACCTTTGAGATTCCTGGATCTGAAGGTCTACATATCTCCTTATACCTGTGAAGTTTTCTGTTATTATTTCCTTGAACACATTTTCAATACCTTTTCCTTTCTCCTCCCCTTCTGGAATACCCACAATTTGGATGTTAGAGTGCTTGAGGTTGTCTGCTATTTCTCTTAGATTTTCTTCATTATTTTTTTTTTCCTTTTTGTCTTTTTTACTGACCGGTAACGGGATCACAACCCTCGGTGTTGCGCCCGCACCACGCTCAGCCAGTGAGCGGGAACCGGTCTCCACATGGGATCCGAACCCTCGGCGGGAGCGCCGCCGCGCTCCCAAGCGGCGCACTCTCCACTGCGCCACCGGGCTGGCCCTTCTTCATTATTTTTAATTCTTTTACCCTTTTTTTTTTTCTGCCTGGGTTATTTTGAGAAGACCATCTTCAAGATCTGAAATTCTTTCTTCTGCTTGCTCTAGCCTGCTGCTCAAGCTCTCTGTTGTGTTTTTTAGTTCACTGAGTGACTCTTTCATTTCTAGGAGTTCTGCTACACTCTTTTTGAAGGTATTAATCTCTGTAAATTTCCTCCTTCACACTCTGAATATTTTTTCTTGTTTCCTTGTGTTCTCTTATTAAGTCTTCTTTTATCTCTTTGATCATGGCTCAGAATTCCTTTTCAGACATTTCAAGGATTTCCTGTTCTATGGGGTCTGGAATTTGAGCATTACTGTATTCCTTTGGTTGTGTCATATCTTCTTATTTGTAAGTTCAAGTATTTTTTTCATTGATGTTTGGTCATCTGGTACAGGTCTTGCTTCTTCTATTACTCTGGGGTTGGCTATGAGGAAAAAGATTTCCTCCTCTATTTGCAGGCTCTACTGGTTACTCTTCTTATATCAGTGTAGTCAAGTGAGAGGCAGATTGCTCATAGAGTGGCCCTGGCTGCTACTGTGGTGGTGAACTGTCCTTGCGGTGACAGTAGGTGTGGCGGTGGCTATATTACACCACCTTGGCTCTTGTTCCAGCTTTCTGTGGCTGTTGAATGAGCCTCTGGTGCCATACAGGTCGCAGCTCACCTTGGTGCCTGCTGCGCTGTAGGTGCTTCCCTTCCCTCCGGGGCCTTAGACTGAGGCCCCATGTCATGAGGGTCTCAGCTCACCTTGGTGGCTGCTGGGCTTATGAGGTCACTGCTGGGATTTTTTCCTCTTCAAATTGAGACTGTAATGATCACTGGAGAGGAAGAAGTGGTGCTCTTCTAATACTTGTGCAGAACACCAGTTCTCTAGTTCACACTGTGCCTGGCTATGCCCATTAGGTCCTTTTCTGAACGTTTACTGGTTTCTGAGGCTGGGAAGTCCAAAGTCCATCTGGTGGTGGTGACAGTGACCCTGGGGTCTCACATTGCAAGATGGTGGAAGCAGAGAGAGCAGAGAGACTCTTTCAACTCTAAATGTGTGTCCCTATTCTTGAACCACATCCCCCTATCTGCCACCCTTAGTTTTTCTCCTTGTCACATTTATAAAGGTAGAATTGGCTCTTTTAAAGTGTTGCTCATCTATCCATCTTGCATATAATGAACGTTGCATTTTGTTGGATTGTCAATAAAAATAACATGTCAAATGGATGTCTAAAAAAAAAAAATCAATGGAAATTAGGAAAGTTCAAATCTAGTATTCTTCTTGTCTATGTACCTGTATGAATTTGAAGTATTACCTAAGCTGAAACTGTTGAATTATCTCCAGATTTCAATTAAGTCTTGCCTTGGATATTAATATATTATATGGCTTCAGGTTTCTTTAAACTGAACCACTTCACAAAGTCCACCTTCCCAATAGTTAATGGAAGAAATTACCTTTCCAGACTCTGAGAGGAGCAAACTCTGGGGGGCACCCCGTTCCACAAGACGAACCCTGCAGAAGAACAATATTTACTATGCATAAGCCTTTTAAAGAATGGGTTCACTGTATCTACTTCAGTTGTGTACTGCCTTCCCAGGACCCCTAGTCTGTCTCTTCTTCTCACCCTAGAGCAGTTTCTCAAACTCAGCACTACTAACATTTTGGGTCTGACAATTTTTTGTTGTAAGGGACTATCTTACAACAAAAAATAAAAATCCAAACTCTACTTTGTTTTTTTGGCAGCTGGCTGGTACTAGGATCCAAACCCTTGATCTTGATGTTACCAAAACCACTCTCTAACCAAGTGAGCTAACCAGCCAGCCCCAAACTCTATTGTAAGGTGTGTAGCAATATCCCTGGCCTCTACCTACTAGATGTCAGTATCAATCCCCCTGTTGTGACATTATCAAATGTCCTCTGGGGATCGAAATCTCCCTGGGTTGAGAACCACTGCATGTGAGAGATGCTCTTCCTGTGCAGGCTGGGCCAGTGCCATGGGGCACACCAGGGAACACATCCTGTCAGAGGGATTGGGGAGAAGTCTCAAGAGTCTTGGCCAGTGCCCACCTTGGGACATTGCTAAAGTTTCCTTCTAAGCTGAGGTAGAGGAGGCAGCTTTTTATCAACGGGGTTCAGATAAAGTGTTTCGATAACCCTACTCTTTCTCATTTATCTTGTCTGTCCCATCTTCTACTTTTTTTTGTCCTTTTTGAGACTGACCATACCGCGCTCAGCCAGTGAGCGCTGTGAGCGCACCGATCCGAACCCGCAGCGGGAGCGCTGCTGCGCTCCCAGCGCCGCACTCTCCCAAGCGCGCCACAGGCTCGGCCCCCATCTTCTACTTTTAAACTCTCAGAGAAAAAAGACTATCCATTTTAATTTAACTTATGTAAAATGTCACAAAATACTTATACACAGGCAGGAACTAAGTATTACATTTTAGTATTGAAAACAGTGCAGCAACTGTGAGAATTAAAACTTTCTTCTAATAAATGTAAATCTTATCATGTATTAATGATAAAAATGAATTCCTTCCCTCTTCCCATATCCCTCCTGGAAGATACAAACATAAAAGGAATGAGGGAAAATGTTGGCTTAGAGCTTTAGCACTTTTTATGCTTAGGAACTCTAACAGGGAATGAGCATAATGAATCTACTGTACCTGTCATGTCTTAATGATTTCAGATCTACATACACAGTAGTTGGATCAGGCCCTGAGGTTCCCTAAAGAAAAATAAACCAATGCATTGTTTATTTAAAATGTAAATGAACTGTATTTCCATATTTCACATTTTCAAATCAAGAAATAGATAATTTAGCCATATATATGAAAAATCCAAACTCTACTTTGTTTTTTTGGCAGCTGGCTGATACTGGGATCCAAACCCTTGATCTTGATGTTACCAAAACCACTCTCTAACCAAGTGAGCTAACCAGCCAGCCCCAAACTCTATTTTGAAAGCTCACTCTCTTCAACCAAGTGAGCAGGATTAGAGTCAACAAGTGGAAGAGACTCCTGGCCTGGCGTTATCCTGGTGTTTCTCTCCTTTCCTCCCCTGTAGAGAAGGCCCTCTGCTCTCCCTCTCACCACAGGGCTGCAGTGGCTCTGAAACTTTACCAAGCTGAGGATGGTTTCATACCTGGGCTCAAAGCAGTGGTGAGACAAGTTACCATCCCAAGGATTTTCAAAAGCAACACTGGCCTCAGCTGATAGCAAGGGGCCCATACTGGGGCTCCAAGTTTAAAGCATCATGATAGTTCTAGAAAGCCACTTGGCCACAGTCATAGAAGACCTGGAAGGATCCACCCACGTGTACCACTTTTCACTCTCACTGTCGTCCATGCCTACATTTGCGTCCAAGCCACGTAAAATCAGACTCAATTTTAGTCCCTTTTCTGTATTTACCCATCTGGCTGGAGAAGAGACTACAGGCTTATTTATGCTTCATTTGCCAAAAGAAAGGAGTAGAACATGCAGGAGACAGAAAGATAGAAGGTCAGATATAAATAAAACCAAACAGGACTTGGAAACCTTCTTGAGTCACTATCACAGGCCACACACTACCACTGTTATTCCCCCACCCCCAGCAGATATTTCTGCTGGTGCTCGTCAGCCAGCACTGCTCCACGCATGCTGACCTAGTAACACAGTGATTCCACAGAATGACCCTGTGAAGAATGATATTATCATCTTCATTTTATAGATGAGCAAAATAAAACAGAGAAGTCAACATAAACACCCCAAGTGCCATAGTGAGTAGGTGGACCAGGGCTCAAGCCCAGGTGGTCCAGCTTCAAAGCCCATGCTCAGGAGCTTTTCCATGGGTTAGCAAACAAGATTTCATGCCAGTCACCTGTAAACATATTGCTACGTTGACTCTTGATCCAAATGTGGTGCTCACAGCCCGAGGGGACAGCCCAATATCTTTAAAGAGCCTGGAGAAGGACTGCTGCAGGGCAATGCGAGGCCGCTCCTCTGCCACCACCACGCAGGTCCGGATGCAGGAGAGGTTGATTCCTCTTGTCTGCAAGACACCCCCACAGGTGCACTACATTAGTAGGCTCACAAAAGAACTGGTAAGCTAGAGTCACTGCTCTACCTCTTTGGTCAGGAAAAGCCAAGGAACTGTGTATTCTCACCTCATATACACGGAGAAAAGCAGCTTTGAGGAAAGAACAAAATGCCATGGCATTCCATTAAAATTACCCACTAGTAAATTTGCTCATTCTCTGTTTCTTTCCTCTTTCATCTAAAATCTTTGGCCTTCAACAATACATTTTTATCCTTCCCCATTTCTGTACCTTTGATTTCTCCTTATTTGATGGGACTAAGAGAAAAATAAATCTAGAATCCTGGAGATCTAATCTATTGTCTCTTTTTTCCATTCTTAAGGTCATATTTCTCTGTTTAAAAAAATTCAGCATTTTCTGACTTTCTCACATGCCAGTCAGACATGTAATCATTGGATACACCCATGGATGAGCCACCCTTATCTTTGGGGCAGTCCCCAATCTCTAATACACTGTGGTTTCTAATTTCCTTTTGTTTTTGGCAGCTGGCTGGTACAGGGATTGAACCCTGGACCTTGGTATTATGAGGACCACGCTCTAGCCAACTGAGCTAACCAGCCCGCCTGTGGTTTCTAATTCTACTAGAAAAAATTCTATCGAAGTCACAGTTTCCTTTTATCTTTATTCAAAGTCATTTCCTTTTAGCCTCCCAACCAATTTTGCCTCCTTCTCTACTAGGTAAGGATTAGAATAAACTCTGAAAGAGTGTACAAAACTAGAAAGGTGAAAGAGATAAACTTCCTGAGGTTTACGAAACACCCATTTAAGTGACTGGCTCTACTCTGGCATTAGCATGCCCTGGCCCATTTTTTAAAACCTCTTAGGACTGGCTATTTGCGCTGCTTCTTACCTTTAGAACCTCCACTTGATTTCCAAGCCCTTTAGTGCAAAGCTCCATTACTGAATAGGAGCAGAAAGTATCCCTTATCTTGTATTGGTTGACAGTGGCGAGCCAGAGGAAAAGGTTATTTTCTAACTCCATAGGAGGAATTAAGATAGACTGGTGACCTGAATAGACACTGCAATAAAGACAAGAGCTCACATTATCAATTCATCCTAGACACCTGGATGTTTTAGAACACCATCAATTCAACAAATATTTACTGGGTGCAAAGGACAGTGTAGGGTCACATTAGATATAACGGTCTAAGCATTAGTCTTGTTCCTATGCAACTGATAAGACACAGTAACTATAAAATAAAGCAGACTGTATTAGGTGTGGTAACTGATGTGAATAAAGGACATTGAGATCATAGAATAAAGAGTAATTCATTCAAGCTGGGAAAGCCAGGGTGGGGGGTAGTAGTGCTTCACTGAGTAGGCGATACTTGAGTTGGGGCTTGAAGAAAGAGTAGGAATTTGACAGTGGCTGAAAGAAGTGGGGATGGTAGTACAGGTGTTCCAGGCAGAGATGCAGCATATACAAAGGCAGAGAAGTATGGGGTGTTAAAGGCTGTCAGAATTAGTATTCCAGTGAAATCCGAGAGCACAGAGTACACAGGGAAGTGAGGCCAGAAGGGTGAGGGCCAAACTGTGAAAGGCCTTAACTACCATAGGAAGGAATTTAGATTCTATCCAGCAGGCAGTCACTGTGGCTTTAAATTGGGGCAAAACTAGCAACATGGAGTAAGGATTAGAGAGCCACAGAAGGGTCATAGACAAGAGAGGCTGCAACAGACCAGGTTAGAGATGATGAGGGCTTGAACCCAATAGTGCAGCCAGGATGAGAAGAAAGAAATGGCAGAGTCATATGCCATATGTATAACAAAGAATGGGGACACAGAAGGAGGACGCTGAGCTGTCGGCATTTGTGATGTCCACCAAGGAGGTGAAAAAGCAGGTCTGAGATTAGGTTCCCTGGGCGGATGGTGGAAGGAGCTGGCACGTGCTATTTGGCAAGAAGCAACCTGGCTAGGCAAATGTGCTACTTCCCATTTGTGTGCTGTCATCCCATCCATTATGTTCTTTTCTGCCAAGCCTAGGGGGTATGTTCTGGCTGTCAAAGCATGCCATATTTCACCCAAGTATCATCCTTCTACTTGGCTCTGCTTCTAAAACAAGGATTACAGTATGGAGCACAGAGCAGGTAATAGGATCAGTGCCATTTCGTATGGGGCATAAAACTAACAGAAAAGAAAAAAGGGAATACAGACAAAACAAATAGCAGAGATACGTTAGGTGCATAAATTCTGTAAACATCAGCATTTTACTGAAACTTTATCAAATTAAGGGAGCAAAGGGAAGAATGAGGTGGTTATAGCCCCAAAGTATACCCCACACATTGTTTCTTTGGCTTTCCATCCCTACCTGCAGAGACACCAGAGCGCAAAGCCAAGTCCACAGTAAGGGTCAAGGCAGATGGCAATCTGCCGAGAAGAATACAACTCACACTGGAGTTTGATGGCTCTACAAAGAGCATTAACTGCAGAGTGGGACATCTGGAAAGTAAGGAATATGGAACAGGATGGAAATATCATCTACAGAGAAACAGCTCTAATGGTAGCTCTGAGAAACTTTCGATTCCCCAAACTTCTTAAAATGATGTACATTTTTTATTGCTTCAAAGCCTAATCTAAGCTTAAATTAAGGTAACACATTTCTGTTCATTAGCTAATACTGAATTTTATGATATATGAATCTGATTTCATATTGACTTAACTAGAACTTTTGTTATCTGTTAGATTCTATGCTAGGTTCAGATACTTCATAAATTCCTTGCTTGGGATAACTTATTCCGGAAGAGCTAATGTTTTTATTTAAATATAGCAGGGACCCTTGATCCTCCACCTACTCGTCTCTGATACAACCACTTAGCTTCTACATCTGAAGTCCCTGGGGCATTGGTCATCTCTATTTTTTGCAGGCCTGGCATTTTACCAGCATTCAGTGAGTGAGTGAATATATCCAGACTACTTTACCTTCACTCCTGTAAGCATGCCAGTTGTGGAGACACTAAAATCAAGATATGCCAACATCTCAGGAGTGGGTGGTTTATATAACTGAGGTAACCTTTTCCTGGGTAAATCATCTGCAATGAAAAGAAAAAACCTCATGTCAATCAGAAATGCTGAAACAGGAACATTATTGATCTTAACTGGTTTTCTGTGGCTTTGCTCTGGCCAAATTTAGCTTCTGGAATTTGCTAAAGCTTAGGCTTCTTGTATTTAACCAAGCAGCTCATGTACGTCACTCTTAGAGGCGGGCTGAGGTTGAGCACACCATTGAATAATATAAGCCAGCAAATGCACATCAAGCACAGTTATTAAACTGAAGTTTAGTACGGGGTAACATAACACAGTAGGAAAGCAGACTGCTGCTGTTCAAATCTCAGCTCATCCATCTATTAGTGATGTGACCTCAGGGTTATTTCACCTCTTTGTGTCTATTTTCCTTTTCTCTAAAATAGATCCCTAAAATTATACCTCCTCCCACAGAATTGTTGGGAAATTAATTCACATAAAGCACTTTAAAAAACAACTGACTGAGCAGACACTCAAGAAGATTTAGTTGTTGTAATCATGCTGGTTTCAAGTTAAAGTTCATTATTTATAGTTTGGTACATGTTATAGTTATCATGGATAGCTTTAAAAGTTGGACAGTTTTTCTCCATGTAAACCTGGCAGATTTTCAAGAAAGGTAATCTAGAATTGGAAATTATTTTCTTTGGGCCGGCCTGTGGCTCACTCGGTAGAGTGTGGTGCTGATAACACCAAGGCCACGGGTTTGGATCCCATATAGGGATGGCCGGTTCGCTCACTGGCTGAGCGTGGTGCTGACAACACCAAGTCAAGGGTTAAGATCCCCTTACCGGTCATCTTTTTTAAAAAAAAAAAAAAAAGGAAATTATTTTCTTTTACTCATTTATAATAACCTCCACCCCCACCCCCAATTTGCTTCATAAGTACGTCAAAACCAAGGATGTCAAAGATGTCTGCAGCCCCAACCATGCCTCTTCAATGGCTCCTTTGGCTTTCTGTATCAAGAAACAATTCTTACTCTGTGTTTTAAATCTCCATGTCATTGGCACCCATCTCTGATCACACCAAAGACTGTCACCTTTGACCTACCTTTGTGTAGGGTAGGGTTACTCACATGACCACTCATGTGCCTACAGAAACCTTCCTATTGTCTGTACCACAGCCCACATCTCAGGGCTTTCTGAAACGTGACTGAGTCCTTTAACCACAATAGATCTACTTGCATCATTAACACCAACACAATCCGTTTGTTATATATTATATATGACTGTGTTTCTGTCCTTAAGTAACACATATAAAAAATCTAGTTCAGTATCTGACACACAATAACCACAAACACATGTCACTCCAGCATATAAATCCATATAAATGATGCCGAGGTGGACACTATATGGTACTTAGTGAAAAGAGGGTAGGGAGGAACTTAATTGCTAAGAGGCTGAAAATGGGGCCCAACTGGCTGGGACTGAATTTCAGTTCTGCTACTTACTCAGCTTCCCTGTGTCTCAGTTTTCTTATCTGCAAAATGAGGATAAAAATAGCACCTATCTAATAGGGTTATCGCAAGGGTAAAATTAGGTAATACATGTTAAGTGACTGACATGATAAGGGCTCAATAAAAGTTAAAAGCTATCATTATAATTACATGCTAGATGTTTTACATCACTTAGTCTTTACAACCCCAATTTTACAGCAGTTTTGTCCAGATTAGTAAGGCTACTCGGAGAGTAGCAGAGATATCGGGATTTAAACCCCATCTGCCTGACTCCAAAACTCACTCTCTTTCCTATACTGATTCTCCAGATATCCCTGGTGTCTTACCTCACTTCTTTAACATGAATACCATCTAAAATTCATGAGCTTTATGATTTTCAAAGTATTTCCATATTATATTGTATTTGATCTCAGTAAATATGAAGTTAGGTAAAGGTAGGTAGTATTTTAGCAAAGGGTAATCTCAAAGTTACATAGTTATACAGGCTATAAGTAATGAAGCTCGAACTAGAACGCACGTCTTCTGACTCCTAGTTCAATGTTGTTTCAATTATGTCTCATCTTTAAGTCAATGGTAAGACTGTCTCAATGTTTTATATAGCCCTACGGGTACATGATGGTCACATTCAGCATAAAACCCTATCCACTTTTCGATACCAAGAGTAACAGCAAGATACTTTTGGTGTAAAGAGCTCTTAGCATATTGAGATCTGGTTCTTTGGATCTGGGTGTTATTGTGTCCCAGTCCTGTGGAAGCACAAGCTGACTGGATATTAGTTTTTGCCTCCATCTTAGCAGGAAGAATGTTTTGCAACATAAAAGCTATGTAAACATGTTTGGTCTGAGAATCTAGGAAATCTCAGACAGTAAATGTTATTGCTCCCTCGACAGCTCTGGAGAAATCTCCCTTTCACCTGTGTCAATGATGGTTGGCCAGGTTTTCACATCCACAGCTGCTGCCGCCTCTCGGGACCTCAGTAATCTCATTAGGGTCTGAGTGGTGAGAATACAGGCTGCCTTGCTGACCTGGAAAACAAATGGACAGCAATAACACCAGGACGCTTAGCCCCGATGCTGCGCCACAGGCTCTGGCTGCTCCTAAAGGCAGCTAGCACACCACACTGGATGGGGTGGGGCGGGCGAGGGGGTCTGTTTTTCAAAGAACACATAAAGGACAAAGGATTTCGGTGTTTTCCCTTTGCATTTTTCTGTCTGAAATCTGTAACGCTTAATTCTCTCAGAGTGATGGACTTGTTCACAAGACAAGTTATTGTTTACAACAGTGATTCTCAAATATTTTGCAATTATAATCTCAGTATGGATCCCGAAATCCCATGATTTCATTAACAACACAGTAAAATAAAGACATGGATTTCGTAGTTCTCCAGGAATGAAAGGAGTCAGGGAATCATGTCTGAAGGACTCAGTGTTTGCAACAGTCTAGTGAATGGTGAGACTTACCAGACCTATAACATATGCTGAATCTGAGGAACACTATGCAGACATAAGCTCTCACAGAAACTAAGGTCTCCTGCCCAGCTACACACGGACAAGCAGAGCGACTTACTTTGCTCACAAACTGCACCAACAGGAAGAAACTCCCCTCCCCTGCTTTTCTGGCGCATTTTGCAGACAAGGGCATTTTACTGAATTAAACTTTGTAATACAATCATCTATGGTGAACACTGCTTTATGCTATAGGCTCAAGTTGCTGACAAAGCAGCAGTTCTCAGGGAAACAAATGTCACATAAACTGTAATTTTATAACCTATCAGTAGACGGCCAAGACTGCCCTTTGCTTTAAAAGTATGTTAGGATATGATGCAATAGGGATTTATCTTATTTTCTTCAATTCTCATATCCTGTAAAAACTTCTATCACCTCCACAGCAAGGTCTGGACATCTTTTAATGATCCATCAAATAAATGTACAAAACTGACCAAAATAAAAGTGACCTGACACTGGGGAGAATTCAGAGTTTGGCATGTAAAATTACCTTGGTCACTGTGCAGAAGAAATATTAGACAGAAAACATGATTTAAGAAGAGGGGAAACAAACAAGTTGTATGGAGAATTACTAACGACACCTTCACTGCCTTACGTGCATGATTAGTGCACACAATTCTGTATCACTTTCCCACAGCCCCTTCACTGAATAATGATGGTCACTTTGGCCAGATTAAGGAAAAGGAGGTAGTTTTCAGGAGACAAATTTGACTTCCTGACTCAAAAAAACTGGAAAATCAGTAAGGATCCTTAGTAGTCTGAAGCTGGATTTTATGAGATGAGGACAAGGCGAGGCATAGTTGGCACTCACATCGACAATCATGCGGACCGTGGGCAATGTGGCAGTGAGGTTCTGAGCATGAGGCGGTCTGACGGTCACGGGAATGCACCCTGCATACAGGCAGCCATAGAACGCAGCGATTAATTCAATGCCTGCAATACAGAGCATCCTGTCAGGAGAGTCACTCAATTGCCAGTGTCACCGAGAAAGTAAAAGGCAGATTTTCCAAAATGAGCTTATTAAATCATGTGCCAAATGGGTTATTTAGACCATAATTTAACAGAGACAGTAGTAGGAGAAATTTTCAAAATTAAGAAGGAATTGAACAGCTGGCCAATTAGCACAGTTGGTAGAGCATTGGGATCTCCTTCTGGCCAGCCACCAAAAAAAGAAGGAAGTGAAGGCAAGAAAGAAGTACATGAATAACAAAGAAAGAAATCAGAAGTAAACTGTTGAAAGAAACCTGAAGATGGTATTTTGATATCATTACTTGATATTACTCAGGAGAAATAACTGCAGAAATCAGGAATGCGTAACAAAGAAAATTAAAGAATGAAGAAGGGAGAGATGAGGAGCACTGGAGCTTTCCCTAAGTACTGAGAAGGCTAAAGAGAAAGAGTTCTTAGATGATGCTTTATCAACTGGTGCGAGTCTTAGGGAGGGGCAAAGCGTGACTGGATATGAAGTTGACTCTGGTTGGAGAGGCCTCCTCAGGAAATGTCTGGTCCATCACCATGTCATTAACTGATGGATGGAAGGCAATCTCACCGGAACAAGGAGGAGGATTCCTAAACCAGATGCTTTTCTAAGACATCTTAGTATCCATGTAAATAGCATTGTAAGAATCACAGAGTAAAATGAAGTAAACTCACAGAGTAAAACAAAGAAGGCTGGTTGTATGAGTGGGTTAGGTGCCAGAAGGAATAAAGGAAGGGACAAGTCAAATATTTCACCTAAAATTTTGAATATTTACACCAAAATGTCACAAAATAATTCTAAGTCCCTCTCATTATGAAAAGGCTGTTGCTTGCAGCAATAACAGAGAAATACTAAACATCAACCTCGATATGAAGAACGTTAAGTCAACAGAGTCCATGCACAATGCTCTTTTGGAAACTGGGTGAAATGGTCCCATTCCTGAACACTCCTAGAAACAAAGCATCTGTTTTGAGGGTTTCCAAAAGTGAGGTAGCTGAAGTCTTCATTCATCATTCAATATGTACTGAGTGCCTTTTTTGGGCCAGGCACTGATAATGGCGATATGAGAGTAAATAAAACAGACACAGTCCCAGCAGAGCCATCGTACTGCACAACTCTGGGGGACAAGTCTTGGTTCACGTGGTAGCCTATGCGCATGGTGCTCCCAGTGTTGGAAGTACACAGCCTACGTGGTCACAGATGCTGGCCCTGAGTTCCTCTCCTTTTAAAGTCTGTAGTCTAGTGATAGAGTGTAAAGTCTAGCCTACTGATCCAACACTTACCAGGTGGATAGAGCAACACCACATTGTCTCCTGCATTTAGATGTCCCTTATCACCAAGAACTGATGCAATCCTCTCAGCTCGCTTATGAAGCTGAAGGCAGCTGGCTGTGCACACAGTAGTTCCCTTTAAACAGAAGAAAGGATAAATGGGTCACAGCTCAGGAAGGAAATAAACAGCACGAAGTACAGCCAATTTGATGTCATACCTACAAGGCTTGTGCCTTAGCAGATTATCCTTGGCAAGTTATCAATTCTAGTGGAAATTCCCCTGGTATCAAAAGACACCTGAGGGAGTCCTTTTCTTTTCAATGTCTATGGGTACTTATGGAATATTAACATTAACTTAAATCAAGCATATTTACAGTCTTCTTGTTTAAGGTAGTTTTAAAAATACATAAGGATTTTTAATTTTTTTTTTTTTTTTTTTTTTTTTTTTTTTTTTTTTTTTTTTTTGG